GGTACATATAAATCCACTGTTATATCTTCCAGGTAGATGCCTGATTTAAATTCTTATCTGCCAAAAAAATAAAAAATAAAAAAAATTCTTATCTGATATTAGTAAAGCTATATCAACTTTCTTTTATTTAGCAATTGTGTATCTTCTTCCCATTCCTTTACTTTCAAATTTTCTAAATATTTTTATACTTTTGTATCTTTTCTAAGCAGCATACAGCTAGGCTTTGCTTTATACCAGGTCTAAAATCTCCTTAGCTTTTGATTGAAATATTTAGTCTCTTACAGTTACCATAATTTGAAATATTTATTTCCTTACATTCAGTGTAATTATTGACATACTTGGAATTAAATACACTTCCTACTTCCTTCATGTATCTCAACTAGACTTTCTCTTTTTCCATACCTTTCTTGTCTTCTAAGCCATTAAGTAGTATTCTTACTTTCCCCTCTATTAGCTTGTTAGATATGAAGTTTTACTTTTATTTTTGTTGCCTAGTAATTACATTATAAAGCCTTAATTATTGTGTACCATAAATTAGTTATCAATTTCTACATGTAACAAAAAAACCTTAGTATTTTAACGTCCTTTACCCTTCTTCCTAATTTATGAGCTGTTATTACCATGCAAATTTTATATCTATTTAAGCTTCTATTACTTTTATTAGTTAATATTATATTAATATTATATTAATATATATTAATAATAATCACTTCAGTTTACTATTAATTTCTAAATTCCTTCTAGTATCTGGTAACATTTATCTTTTTCTTCAATATTATTTCCTTTATTTTGTATTTCCTTTCATGGAAGTCTGCTCTTATCAAATTCTCTTAATTCTTGTTTTTCTAAAAAATATCCTTATTTTGGCTTTATTTTTTTTTTAATTTTTTATTTATTTATGATAGGCACACAGTGAGAGAGAGAGGCAGAGACACAGGCAGAGGGAGAAGCAGGCTCCATGCACCAGGAGCCCGATGTGGGATTCGATCCCGGGTCTCCAGGATCGCGCCCCGGGCCAAAGGCAGGCGCTAAACTGCTGAGCCACCCAGGGATCCCGGCTTTATTGTTTAAAGTTATTACACTGGGTGCAAAATTTTAGGCTGATTATTATTTCCTTCCAGCAATTTAAAGATCATGTTTTCTAAATTTCATTTTTTCTGTTAAGATATTAGTTGTCAGTCTTGCTGTTATTCCTTTAAAGAGAGTACAACTTTCTTCCTTTGACTCCTTTTAAATTTTTTTCTTCATGTTTGGATTTTCATTAGTTTTATCATGATATTTCTAAGTATAACTTTCTTTGTAGTTATTTCCCTTGGTGCTCATGGAAGTTTTCCAATTTGTAGCTTGATGTCTTTTATCACTTTTGAAATTCTTAGTCATTAAGACTTCAAATCATGCTCTATAAAATTTTCTCACTTTTCTTCCTCTTGACTCCAAACACATGCATGTTAGACCATTTCTACAGGTCCTTTATACTTCCTTTCCTATTTTATTTTCATTCTTCTCTTTATTTGGGTATGCGTCTTTGTTTTGATCTGTATTCCATCTCATTAATTCCCTCCTCAGCTGTATCTAACTTGTTAAACTCATCTAAGGAATTCTTAATTCATTTAATGTATTCTTCATTACCATAATTTCCATTTGATTCTTTAGTAAAAGTTTCCATTTGTCTCCTAATATTTTCTACATTTTATTTTAACGTCTCCGTCTGAAAACACCATTATCCTATAGCTATGTTTCTTATGACTATTTTTTATACCTTTTTCTAACACTCACCATTGTTTTATTTTGTATCAGATATTGCATAGGGTTTTTTTGAAGAAATAATTTGAGGCTCTGTGTTATACCTTCCCCAAGAGAGGATTTACTTTTGTTCTACTTAGTCTATGGGCAGCTCACCATAATCCAATGATTCAAAGTGAACTTACCTACACTAGCAGGCTTAGAACTTCAGAAACTAAGCCAAATCCTTAAGTGTGTAGCAAAGTCCATCTTCCTTAGCACACTTGAAGATCCAATTTTGGACCTCTATATTAATCAACAAAAGCTCTGCTCAGTTTTTTAGACAGCTTTCAGTATTTATAATTATCTAAAGGAAAATAGTTTCACAAAATGCCAATCTTACCCACCTTGACATTCCACCTATCCTAGATCTTGACCCACAAATTCTCACTGCCTTGGTAGTTCTAAAATGCCTAAAAATATGTAATTCCTAATTTTTCTCAGTAAAAATAATATTCCAAAATAATCCATTACACCAATGAAAAAGAACTCCTCCAAACATTTACTAATACCTCAACAAAGCAGCCTATCTACTAAACTATATCTACTAAAAAATGAAACTAGATTTTTAAGGTGGTAAAAATTTAAAATCAATCTGTACAATGGATATATATTTGTGATATTTTTAAATTACATATTTGATAAACTTGAAATATATTTTAATTGTTATATGAAAATAAAATTTAAAATTAAGCTAATGAGAAGTATTTACAAAACTTTAAGAATAGAAAAGTAATTTTGTATTCACTGATAATTTTACTGATTTTTATTAAAAACAGAACCAGTAAAATATTAAAATATCATATGCACCTATATTTCTAATAAGGTGCTGTAAATAATTTACAAATTATTTTAATAAATTCTCCTAAGGAATAAGTACCCAATGTTATTTGTGCATATATTAAAATTGCCAATATTGATAATATTCTTCTACACAAAAGTTCACTATGGGAAATTTTCAGGAAGGGAAATATATTAAAATCTGAGCAAATCCCATTCAAGTGGTGAGCAGCAAGTAACTCTCATTTTGACTTCATTCAAATAATACCCATGGTTCTCTTATCCATTCACATCACAAAAATATGTTAGGCTGACTGACAGTGCTTTAGTCACTAAATCACAATTCCTCTTGCTATCAAAACAAAAAGTGAAGGAGGAAAAGTTAGAAATGTTAAAGCATAAAATAAAATGCAATGGATAAATTATAAAAAAAAGTGATTTATTGGTTTTAATATTATAAAAATATAAAGACAAAATGAGAGTTACTTGCTGCTGGCTCACCACTTGAAATGGGATTTGCTCAGATTTTAATATATTTCCCTTCCTGAAAATTTCCCCATAGTGAACTTTGTGTAGAAGAAATATTATACAATATTGGCAAATTTAATATATGCCACAAATAACATTGGGAACTTATTCCTTAGGAGAATTTATTAAAATAAATTTGTTAAATTATTTACAGCACCTAATTAGTAGAAATATAGGTGCATATGATATTTTTAATATTTTACTGATTTTTATTAAAAACAGAACCAGTAAAATATTAAAATATCATATGCACCTATATTTCTAATAAGGTGCTGTAAATAATTTACAAATTATTTTAATAAATTCTCCTAAGGAATAAGTACCCAATGTTATTTGTGCATATATTAAAATTGCCAATATTGATAATATTCTTCTACACAAAAGTTCACTATGGGAAATTTTCAGGAAGGGAAATATATTAAAATCTGAGCAAATCCCATTCAAGTGGTGAGCAGCAAGTAACTCTCATTTTGACTTCATTCAAATAATACCCATGGTTCTCTTATCCATTCACATCACAAAAATATGTTAGGCTGACTGACAGTGCTTTAGTCACTAAATCACAATTCCTCTTGCTATCAAAACAAAAAGTGAAGGAGGAAAAGTTAGAAATGTTAAAGCATAAAATAAAATGCAATGGATAAATTATAAAAAAAAGTGATTTATTGGTTTTAATATTATAAAAATATAAAGAATAATAATATATTGATTAGACAAAAGGTAATAAAAATTACCAAATCCTCCAAAGGAAAAGTCTTATCTTTTTTAATTCCATCTTTCTTTTCAAATAAAATAAAAATTAGAATGTATGTTTGAAAATGAAGAGGGTAGAACAAATTAAACTTTGATGAAAAACTATTTCATTCAAACTCATAAAGTAATTTCATGGTAAGAGTTTATAAGAATGTATATAGTGTCTTAAAACTACAGAATCATTTCCAAGGTTTAACAAAGGTAAATATTTGAGTACAATAAAAATTCTACTTTAAAACTCATATATATATGTACATATATATGTGGAAAACTCATATAAATGGAAAAAATAAGTGAAAATTTAATAATATTTCAAACATAAAGAGAACATTATGTTTACAAATAGGCAATTCACTAAATAGGAAACACAAATGGCAAATGGATGCTTAGCCACAATAGTAATCTTGAGTATGCACAGTAAGTATCATTAAGATACCATGCAAATCCATTGCAAGTGCAAAAGGAAAATAGCTTCACAGTTACCAAATGTGGGTGGTAATATGAAGAAACAGGGACATTCACACCTAGCTGGTGAAGTGTACATTACCACAGTGACTTGAAATGCAAATGGGCAACATGTAGTAAAGTTGAGGATATAAATATCCTCAGACACAACAATTTATGTATATGCCCTACAGAAACGCTTACATATCTGCATGAGAAAACCAGCACAAGCTGTACAGTGTAACACTGTTTATAACAAGGACAAAAATTTACCTAAATGCAGAAGCTTTGCATTTCACAGGAAATTAGATGATGAAACTGAAAAATGCTTTTAAAATTTACAAATTATATTAAAATATGAGCGCAAAGAAAAAATCATGGAGCAGAAAATATCAAAGCTCAAAGTTACACTGGTAAGCAAACTTGCTCATCTGAATTGAACATGAGATCAGTACTTATAAGTAATGCATACAGAATAAGTATATCTATGTAATTAGAAAAAGTTTTAAAGTCAATCACTTAAAGTGATCATGAATACACTGAAAATGTGTTATTTTGTACCTCTGCTATACAAGAGAATTGTATTAGTTGAAATAAACGGGGAAAAAGGTAAAAATGTTTCCCTGAAAATATTTAATAAACACCACTATTATACGAATATAAAATAAAACAATGGCAAAGTTTCTCATCATATTTTTACCCAATCTACTCACCAAGTCTTAGTGTTAACTTCATACTTATAAAGATCATCTACCAATCCATATTTATTGCCTGGTAATGCTTTATAGCCTCCATGAACATAAATGGACTTTGTTATTTCATCATACACACTGGTATGTCCATATCCACCTTGGACAATAGCTCCTTTAGTTTCTGGAACAAGCCAAGTGTTTGATGCTGTAAGAGAAAGAAGATGAATCATGAAATTTAAGGAGTTTTTAAAAATTAACTAATATGTCACTCAACTACCAATACATAAATTCCAATAGCACATTTTTATGAGTAAAGTATAATTAACATTCACTTAATCAAAAACAATTATTAAATATTTGCTAGTTTACTATGTTAGGTGTTAGACATTGAAGTTGAGTAAGACTGGTCTTTCTGTAGATTAAACTCTGAAAATTGAAAATGCCAAATTTTTGGATGTACAACAGAAAAAGGAAAACTTTATTCTCACATACATTTCTGTATTTGTAAAGAACTCTGAGAAAAAGACTAACAAATAGTTTATGAAAGCCTATTATGTGACAAGCTCTGAATTAGTCACTGATATAGCAAAGATTTAAAACAGATATGATCCTCAACCCTTAGCAATTTTTAGCCCTGTGCTGGTCCTTCATCTCTTCTACAGAGCTGAATGAAAACCTAAACACTAAATTTCCAAGACTCCCTCGACAACTGTATGAACAGGTTTTACCAAGGGGGTACTTGTGAGAGATTAGAAGGTGAAAGTAACAAAGACATTCTACCTTCATCTCTAGCAGCATAACAGGCAGATGCTACAGTGGATAATAGCAGTGTGTGATCTTAAAGTAACAGCAGCAGGGGTAGTGTCTGCTCAATGGCAGCAGTGGCACCTAGAATAGTTCAGTGACAAATGCAATCCTAGGCTTCAGCCTGGGTGTTTGGCAGCTCCCAGATTTCTGGGTGACCCTCTCATTTTGTTGTCTCTAATACTCTTGTTATTATTAACTTCCTATACCTAAATCCCATTCCGCTTAGTATAGCTAAAAGGAACTTATTTCTTACTGCAAATTCACTGATATGATCATCAATCATATGCAAGACATGCTTCTAAGAATATGCAGATAAATAAAACACAGATCCTTGCCTTGGAAAATTTCAATTATAAAGAGTTAACTTTATAGAAATCTATCATTGGTCTTTAGATATCCACCCAGCCTATACCTCCATCTTCCCACTAACTAGTCATTTAACATTGGTATAGTAAGCATCTCAACTGCAAATACTCAAATCAAGTAATAGAAAATAAAGGGGATCTTAAAAATTGCTCACTTTTACATAATTCTAAGGTAATTAAGAAAGTGATACTTCAATGGTCAGAAAATATAGAAGTATCAAAAAGGGTCACTAAGCTAATTTTACTTTGATAAAACTAAATATATATGGAGAAATTTCAGAGCACACTTGTAACTAATAAGTATTACAGTTTGGAGGTAATTTCTAAAAAATGACATTAATAGTAACTTACCAGAAATAATTTAATATCCTTTAACCACTTATTAAAGCTCTACTCATCTAACCTAATTGAAGGTTTCCATATTTTTATTCGTTCTCCTTTTAATAAAGATAAGTTTGCCTCTTATTTTTTAAAAAATGTAGAAATAGAGGTCTTCAATGTACAAGTGAATATTACCTTCTCTCCCAGCCCACTACCTAGAAGTATTTTCACAATTTAGTTATGTTCAGACTACTTTCAAAATATAGTAATAAATATTTTTTACACATATACCAAATATATTTAAATTACAAACGTGCATCCATACCTATAAATACTTGTATCAAAAAAATCATGCTATTTTACTTTTTTCATTAAAACAAATAAATGGGGCATTCTTCCATGACCCATTTATTATTTTTCAACACCTAAATTCCTTTCTATTAAGGATACATAACTTATTTAAATAACTCTACATCGTGACTCATTTGGGTTTCAATTTGTTCCAAAAACCGATAATGTAATAAACAACCTTGCAATCAGCTCTAATATCATTATCTAATAGAACATATACTATGTCTCAAGAAGTATCTCGTTATTTTATTTAACAATAACCCTTTTACAGGTTTGCTATTGCATTCTCCTCTTTATAGCTGAGGAAATTTAGAGTTAGAAAAACTAAGTGCCACACCAAAAGTTTAAAAGTTGATAAGTGGAACAAAATGGTGTAGACTCATTTATTCCTCTCCTCCTCACTAAGTGTGACAGACTCTAGAAATAGTGCAAGAGACAACCAAAGGAGAAATCTGAAAAGTGTAAAGGCAGGTGAATTACAGACTCCAGGACTATAGGATAGGTGTCTCCTTTCCCTCCAACAGAAGGCTATGTAGGTCCAACATTTCTCAGCTCCCCCATCTAGCAAATTAAAGGCAACTCAAGTAGCCTTATTCCTCCTCAAAATTGATCAGGAGTCCTATGGACAACCCAGATGATCCTAGCAGCACCAGTAAGAGGGACCCAGTAAACACTGTTTAAAAATAAGCTGGCAGGGAAAGGGTTCTTCATCCTCCAGATCAAGACTGGAAAAAGATATCCTACAAGACCAAAGAATGAACCTAAACCTTGACTGCCTGCTAAAATACATTTAAATGAGACCCAAAAAGTCTCAATACAATAGACAAATGTCCAGGATACAATTAGAAACAAAAAATCATTTATCAAAAAAGAAAAAAAAATCATTCATCATACTGAGAACCAGTAAAGTTGCAACTCTAATGAAAAAGAAAATCAAGTGATAGTAACTCTAAGATGTTGAAATTACCTGACAAGCATTTTTAAATAACCCTGATAAAAAAAAAAAAAAAAAAAAAAAAACGGGATCCCTGGGTGGCGCAGCGGTTTGGCGCCTGCCTTTGGCCCAGGGTGCGATCCTGGAGACCCGGGATCGAATCCCACATTGGGCTCCCGGTGCATGGAGCCTGCTTCTCCCTCTGCCTGTGTCTCTGCCTCTCTCTCTCTGTGACTATCATAAATAAATAAAAAAATTTAAAAAAAAAAATTAAAAAAAAAACATTTGAACAAGCAATTACAAAATCTTTGAAACAACAAATCTCAGCTAAAAAAGAAAGTAACAAAGAAATTTAGGGGAAAAAAGAAAAATGCAGTAGTGAACAAAAACTCTATATACAGGCTCAATAGTAGAGTGGAGCTGATAGAAGACAGAATCAGTAAATTTGAGGACAGGTCAATAAAACTTACCCAATCTGAATAATAGAGAAAACAGACTGAAAAAAAAGCCAACAGAATCTCAGAAAGCTTTGAGACGTTAACAGTTGATTCAACATTCATATCATTAAAATCCCAGAAGAGGAAAAAGAGAAAGAAACTGAAAGAGTATTTGAAGAAACAATGAATAAAAACATCTAAATTTTGTACAAGACACAAACCTACAGATTCATGAACATTAAAGATGTCCAAATAGGAAAAATTTAAAGAAATCCACACCATGATACATCATAAGAAAATTTATAAAAAAGACAAAAAATAAAAAAATAAAAAAGATCTTGAAAGCAGCCAGAGAGAAATGACACATTACTTATAGAGGAACATCAATTTGAATAACTGTGGATTTCTCATCTGAAACTATAATGGCTGAAAGAAGTAGCACATTTTTCAAGTGCTGAAAAACAAGAAGTGTCAGGCATGAATTCTATTCCAGCAAAACTATCCTTCAGGAATTAAGTGGGGGGAAAAAAAGAGAGAGAGACTCTTAGATGAGAAGAAAAAAAAAACTAAAAATTTTTGAAATATGTCCCTCTCCTGACAGAATGGTTAAAGGAAAATTTTTAAACAGAAGTGAAATAATAAAGGACGGAGTCTCAGGGGGCACCTGGGTGGCTCAGTTTGTTAAGCATCCAACTCTTCATATCAGCTCAGATCATGATCTCAGGGTTGTGAGACTGAGCCCCATGTACGGCTCCACGCTGAGCACGGAGCCTGCTTGGGATTCTCTCTCTCCCTCTCCTTTAGCCCCTCTCCTCTCCCACTCATGCACCTCTTTAAAACAAAACAAAAAAAAAAAAAAAGAAGGAATCTAAGAGCATCAGGAAAGAACAACAAACAGTAGAAATATGATTACATACAACAGACTATCCTTCTCATCTATGAGGTTTATAAATGTTTGATGAAGAAAAAATTATAACCATGTAATACTGAGACAATGATATTTAAAATTGGAGAAGGTAAAGGGATGTAAATGAAAGCAAAGTTTCCACACTTCACTCGTAGTGGTAAAATGGTGATACTAGTAGACTGTGATAAGTCACATACAAATATATATGACTGCATATTTGTATATATATTTTTAAGTAGATTATATGCCCAATGTGACCCAAAGATTAAAACCTGAGCTGAGATCAATAGTTGGACGCTGAACCAACTGAGCCACCCAGACGCCAGTCAACGTCTTTTTAACCCAGTGTGATCTCTAAAAAAAAACTATACAAAGAGATATATTCAAAAATACTATAAATAAATCAAGAATGGAATTTTAAAAATCATTCAAGTAACCCACTAGCAAAGAAAAACAGAGGCACAAGAAATGGGAAACATAAAGGAAATAAATAATAAAATAACAGAGCATAGCACTAATATATCAAAATTACCTTAAATGTAAATGATTCATTTATATAACATTCTTGAAATAACAGAATTCTAGAACTGGAAGACAGATCAATGATTATGAAGGGTTAGAGATGGGAGGTGAGTGAGGGTGAAAGGGTGATGAGTGTGGTCTAAAAGGACAATGTGAAGGAGTTTTATAGTGATATAACTATTCTATAGATATAGACAGATATAATCTTGACTGTGGTGGTGGATACCTGAAACAACATGCAATAAAATTGCACAGAACTAAGCACATACACAAGTGCCAAATACACACACATGCACATACAAATAAGTATAAATGAAACTGGGGAAATCTGAATAACATCAGTGAACTGCATCACTGATGCAGTGTCAATATCTAGGTTGTAATATTGTAATATATTTTTGCAAGAATGACATTTGGGAAATTTTCATAAAGGGTATATAGGATCACCCTGTTATTTCTTACAAGCATATGCGAATCTACAAGGATCTCAAAATAGAAAGGTTAATTAAAAATATATATATTCACCTTACAAGTAATGGGCAGTTCATCATGAAATACAAT